GCCTTGGAGTTCCCCCGGAGGAGCTGGAAGAAGTGGCTGGGGAGAGGGAGGTCTGGGCCTCCCTTCTGAAGCTGCTGCCCCCGAGACCCGATCCCGGATAGGCGGAAGAAAATGGATGGATTGATGGATGGATGGATGGTATTAGTGATTAATGAACAGACGTTTAGCATGTACAACTGTTTTTTACTGATGTATTTTATGACTGTGTATAGAGATTGTAATTAGAATTGATTGTTATTGTCTTTATGACTTTATGCAGTGACTGCGTCTACAAATTTTATGGATTATTGTTCTGTGCCTTGATTTAGATTGTATTTTGTTGTTCAGGGACTACAGATGGAAATTAGCGTAAGCTAAATCTGGTGCAAAACATCTTTTAATGTTTTATTTGCCCATTGTCCCTGTTTTAAATAAAGGAATTCTAAAACACAGTTTGATTTAACCACTGTCATCAGCAATATTTGTTAACACTTGACCTTACCGGTTGATGCATTGCAAGCAATTTATACATATGGTACATGTCAAGACCCTAAGTTAACAAATCAGAAAACTGTGCACCATAGCTGTGAACAGCATGAATATTCTCACGTCATCAATATTATTTACATCACATACTTTCATTAGTTTTTGTAATGTCTCTAAATGGTTTGTAGTTTTCCTCCTTCCTGTTATACATGTCAGACATGTGGGTTACCTGTGCTGCAGGTGAGGCCGGATGATGCTGCTCATGAGGTCTACAGTCTTGTTGAGGCCTGGAGGAAATAGGCTGCTCCACAGAGATCCTTCCTCCACATAAAAAGGCACAGGGCTGTTYGTCGACACTCCCTGAGAGGACAGGAAGTCAGTGAGTGACTAAAGTCAGTCAGTCAATTCATCTACAACACAATAAAGTGTAAGTAAAATGAAAAATAACAAAAACATATTTCACTCACTGACACTAAAGCTGTATGAAATCAAAATAAGACCACATTTGTCTACAATGTTCATTCTGCTGTTTGTGAGGTGGCTGCAAAATCAAGACTTTTTAGAGAAAAACAAGACATTTATAGTGCTGCAAATATGTTATTTGTTTATGATACTTTGTTTACCAGAACTACTGACTGAAACTGACACCAAACATGAGGTCAGAGTGAAAGCTCACCAAGTAAAGAGAGGTGTGTGTTCGATCAACCAGATGAGCTCCTTCTTCTGTCTCCACAGCAGGACACACCCTCTGCACTCTGAAGTACAACACTGGACACCTATCAGAGGTCAAAGGTCACATACACACATAACTTACACTGGATACCTAACAGAGGTCAAAGGTCACAGACACATAACTTACACTGGATACCTAACAGAGGTCAAAGGT